CAGTCTTCCCTCCCCCAGAGCTGGTCCTGAGGCCTGGCTCCCTTTCCTGCCCCGTCCCCCACCCCCATCCCCTTTACACTTGGCGTCCCCATCAGCTTTTACCTTTGCTGTGCTCACTGGTTAACTTCTTCCCTCGCTGAGCTCTGCAGCCTTAGGGGATGGGGACTTGGCCTCGTTCCCCTCTGCAGCCCCCGTGCTCGGGCGTCAGGTGTTCACCCATCCTCAGCCCTGGGCAGACCCCCTCCGCAGCGATGGGGCGAGTGGAGGCGGACACGGGGCTGCAGTGAGGACGGGCGTTGCTCCCGGTGCGGTTAAGCCCAGCGATGAGTGCTTGAGGGGGCATCTGGCTTCATTTAGCCGTCACTTAGTCTTTTTGTTTTATGTTTTGCTTTAAAAAACGCTTTAACGTTTTTCCTTTCTAGGTAAAAGCAGGATTTAATGAGGAGACTCGCTGTTACGAGATTCGGACGGGCTCGGGTTGTAGGCAGCACCAGGAGGTGTTCATCTGCTACGGCCCTCACGACAACCACCGGCTGCTGCTGGAGTACGGGTTCGTGCCCCCCCAGAACCCCCACGCGTGTGTTCACGTCCCACAAGGTCGGTGTTGATGTTGGTTTTCATCACTGAGATGCACACTTTCCCCCATCTGCGATGAGGTTATTTTAAGTTTTAATAAAAATGGCAAACCTTAAATGTGTGTCACTTATTTGCTCCTAGGTAGGGTCGCCCTACTCTTGCTGCCCATGTGATTGAAATAATGAAGTGAAAGCAGCAGCTTTGACCGACACTGAGGCCGGGAAGAGCCGAGAGGAGTTTTATTGCGTTAGGTCAGGAGACTCGAAGAGCAGGGAAAGGGCCGAGGAGATAACTATTTAATAGATGGAAAGGGGGAAGTTTTTGTACTGAGACATTTCACTGTCGCTAAAGACAACAGGATTAGAAAGCAACAAATAATAGACGTTTATTAAGCACCTACTGTGTGTAAAGCACTGTGCTCATCCCAGAGAGAGTCGTGTTACACGGTCCTTGTTCTGGGGCCTAGTGCCGTGATGAAGTCCTGGCTTTATTTATGTTCTTTTTGTGTCTCATTAAGCAGCCGTCATCCTTGGTATAACTGTTTTTAAGATAATAGTGTAGCTATTAAATTTGTTATGAAAATTCCAAATGTAGTGTGAAAAACTGCACAGGAGACCGCTCCCCCGCTGCAGAGGCCGTGCAGAAGTGGCCAGGGCCACTGCCTGCGTGACTGGAGGTGTTAGTATAAGTCCTGGTGGGAATAGATGTGGTCAGGGTGACACTGCTCCACCCTACAGGCAGAGTCACAACATTATTTACCAAAGTAAAACAAAAGCAAGAAGGGGGCTGGCTTTGGGATTCCTGGGTGGCTTTGGGATTAGCCTCGTATCAGAATAACTTGAATACTGATGACCACGGAATCCTGTTTGTGAACAACAGTTTCGTATCAGTTATTATTACCTTTAAAAAATGAAAACTGATATGAAGAGAAAATTTAAAAGCACAGCAGCCCCTCCTGACTGCTGCCTCAGGTAGCCTGTTAATGTCTGCCTGTCCTCTTGCAGTCGCTGGTGGTTGTCATCACAGGCATCCAGACAGTTGTGAATCCGGCTCTTAGACACTTACTGCTGTGGGCGTTTTCTCACGTTGGCTCAGAGCCTGTTCTTTCGGGGGGGGCGGCTTCCTCGCAGGCCTGCTGGGGTCTTCAGGACCTGAGTCCCCTGGTCCATTTGCTTTGTGGGAGTGTGAGCGGGGTTGGGGGTGTTTGGTCCCTGCCTCAGAGTTCTTGTGGCTTTTCTAGAGCTGATGACAACCTTGTGAGAGGGACTTGAAGAATGGATTTTCTTTTAGATATGAATTAGGTAAAACTGTTTCCATATGTCTTGATTGCCAATGGGAAGGAAAGGTTTATACTTTTGTCTGAGTTACACCCTAAATCTGATTTTTTTTTTTTTATGTAGATATGCTTGTTAAATACCTTCCGTCAACAGATAAACAGCTGAACAAAAAGATTTCCATTTTAAAGGATCATGACTTCATAGAGTAAGTGTNTCTGATTTTTTTTTTTTTTTATGTAGATATGCTTGTTAAATACCTTCCGTCAACAGATAAACAGCTGAACAAAAAGATTTCCATTTTAAAGGATCATGACTTCATAGAGTAAGTGTATCTCCCCCAACATTGTTCCATCGGGAAGTTCTGATGAAAACATTGAGGGTTAGGTTCTTTAGGTAGGAGGTACTTCTGACGCTCAGCTGTTGACAGGTAGGTGTTTATCGAGCACTGTCTGTGTAGTAAACTGCTTGGTGTTGTGGGGCACACAGGAGTGTAAGAAACGTTTCAGGGACATAAGATACCAGCTTGAGATACGAAATTATTGTTCCAGAAGAGAGCCCTGTGTGTACTGAGTGGAAGCCCAGTGAGCGTTTGTCTAACGTGTGGTGAGGTGGGATGGCCTCGGGCCCCCGGGGGTGGCTGGTGCTTTCACAGCAGGTGGGATAGACAGGTTCAAGGCCCTCCCTCCTGTAGGTAGATAAAGCCGTAAGTGACCCAGCTGCAGCGTGAGGGCCGTCTCTGTGGCCCCCGATAATCCAGATGGCTCCTGCCTTCCGCAGGACACTCATCCAAGTTCAGCTTCTGACCAAATAAATTGGAAAGTAGCCTCATACTTTTTGTTTTGTTTTGTTTTGTTTTTTAAATAGATCTTTATTGATTTCAGAGAGAGGAAGGGAGAGGGGGAGAGAGAGAGAAACATTAATGATGAGTCATTGATCAGCTGCCTCCTGCAGGCCCCCGACTGGGGATGGAGCCCGCAACCCGGGCATGTGCCCTGACCGGGAATCTAACCCCGATCACCTGGATCCTAGGTTGACGCTCAACCGCTGAGCCACGCCCGGCCGGGCAGTTTTTTGTTTTTTAACATGAGATTTATGCGTTACTCGGGCTTTATCAAGTATTTGCAGACACATTTTCTCTCTTGCCTCTCTGGCCAAGGTTGCAGTTCTGTCACGTTTAGTGGCCGCTTAGGAAAGCTGTCCTTGCCATGGGGCGAGGAAGTACCGACTGATGGCGTGTCCCTGTTCCTCCACTTTAGAAACTTGACGTTTGGATGGGATGGACCGTCCTGGAGGCTACTCACGGCTCTGAAGCTGTTGTGTCTGGAGGCTGGAGAGCTGTAAGTGGCGCCGTTGGTCCCAGCGTGGCCGGGACGCCGCTGTGTGCACGGGCCGCCTGTTCCTTAGTCACCCTGGGTGGCGTTTCCTGTCCGCGCTCTCGCTGTCGCTGGAACTCTGGCTTTAGCGTCATAGAGTGTGTGGTTCAGAGAGCGTTTTAGTCTCTACTCAGACATTTCCCCCGGTGCCTGCAGCGCCGTGTTCAGGTAAACAGGTCAAAGCGTGGGCATTGGCCCTGTGCAGAGGGAAGTCTGGGTAGGTGGGTTTTCCAGGAGCCAGTAGAGCTCCTGACCCCAGTTGTGCCCTGGGGGCAGATCCAGAGTCCTGGTCCAGGAGAGGCCTGGGTGTTCTCATGGGGGAGGCAGGTAGAGGAGTCCCTGGCGTAACACGCGGCCTGGTCAGGCTCCCGGTCCTTCCTGCAGCGTGGACGGGACTGTGGGCTCCCGGGCGGTGCTGCATGGCCCGGAGCTCACCAGCCTGGTGCTGGTCAGGGAGCCGGGAGCGTGTGCTCCGCGCAGCAGGAGCTCGGGTGAGAGGCGGGTGCAGGGACGGCTTCCTGAGGCTGGGGAGGCCGCCCTGGAGCGGTTGGGTTAGATGAGAGCACAGTGCCCAGAGGTGTGGGCGCTCGCTCGCGGTGCCTCCTACGTTAGGACATCGCTTCCTTCCTTCTGCAGGGGCCTGGGAGGAAAATCCCTCCTGGTCTCAGCGCTGGGAATGGCTGTTTGTTCTCAGCAGATGCAGGATTTTGTGTCACAGGCACTGACTTCTAGGTCTGTCTCTGTCCCTCCCTGTTTCTGCTCATAGAAAACGCAGGCGACGTGCCGGCCGGTGGAGGTGCAGCATCTGGAGGCTTGTGCCTCGGGCTGTGTCTTATCTTCCCGCCTCCCCTCGCTGTCTCTTCCTGTCCATTCCTCTTACATTTATTTCACCTCCTGTTTACCCACGTAAACGCCTTGATCTCCCTCCTGGAAAAGGGTGTGAGTCCTTTTCAGGCAAATCAGCCTCAAATTAAACACAGCAGCTGGATGTTTCCAGAGGCAGAGCTGAGGCCTCGCTCCCTCGGCTTTCTCAGTCTTGTGGGTGGGGCAGAAAAAGCGTGTGGCTGGGACCCCACCCGATGTCCGTTTGCACGAGCTGGTTCCTGAGGAGCCTCCGGCGTCAGGTCTCGGCTGCCCTGCCGAGTGTGGGCTGACCGCTCCCTCCGTGGGTAGCCGTGAGGGTAGTGGCCGTGCGCGAAGCTCTGCCTGGCACATAGCGACGTCCTCCCTGCTTTCCCGAGAGGCCATCTGCTCCTGAAGTTTCAGCCCTGGTCCCTAAAGCTGAAGACAGTGGAGACTGTTTCCTGTGGCCTGTGGGCGGCTCTGCGCTTCTCAGTGCCTTCTGCTTCCTTTCAGATACAGTCCCGGTGCCTCTCCCCGTCCGAGACACTTCTCTTGAGGTTCTGCACGTCCCGAATCTGTTCCTCAGCCCTTCCCCCCCATTGCTTCTCCCTGCGCAGAGTGGCTCAGCATCCTGCTGTGGCTCCCTCCTGCCTGCCCTGAGACTTGTACCCTCTGCCTGCGCCTGAGCCTCGTTTCCTACAGACGTTCGTGGCACAGACCTGGCAAGGCCGCCTGTGGAGGGGGCTTCACCGAGACTCCTTCCGTCTGTAGCATCTCACTTTGTGACGCGTGTTCCGTTCAGTTTGCTGTTTTCTCTTGAGAAGAAAAAAAATCTGTCTTTTGCTCCTTAGTCGGCTCTGGACTCACTTTCCTGTTCTGTCTCCTGCTCTGATCCTGTGGCTGGTGGACGTGACGCTGCTCACAGATGCCAGACAGGATCCGTGACAATGAGAGCGCCAGTCCCGCTGCTTGTTCTCACTGTGCCTTCTCCCTACAAACTGTCCGCTTCAGGACAGGACCCGCAGGAGGCGGGAGGTGGGGGGGGTGCTGCGGGAGGCGGGGAGCCTGCTGCCGGCGGATGGGTTTTATTAAGCTCTGGAAAGAGGAGAGGAGTTTGTGTGTTGTGTTGAGGTGTAAAAGTCTATTTTTTGAGACCCTGCTGAAATAATCTTACTAAACATTTTGGTTCTAGTCCATGCTGGAAAAAAGTACTTCTTGGGGAAATAATTTCAGATACAAACGAGAAGACAAGTTTGGACATAGCCCAGAAAATATGCCGTTACTTGACGGAGGATACGAATGCTGTGCTGCGGAGGGTATGTTGCTATGATTCTGCACCCTGTCCTTAAAGAAGTGCTTTGACTCCAAGTTATTGTTCTGGCCGTGTTGGGTGGGGAAGGGACTCCTTCTCAGGACGTCGGTAATGCCTTAAGCAAATGGACATGGGTGTAACCAGTTTTTTTCTTTTCTTTTTTTTTTTAAAAAATATATCTTTATTGATTTCAGAGAGAGGAAAGGAGAGGGAAAGACAGAGATAGAAACATCAATGATGAGAGAGTCATTAATCGAGCCTGCAACCCGGGCATGTGCCCTGACTGGGAATCGAACCCCGATCGCCTGGATCCCAGGTCGACGCTCAACCGCTGAGCCACGCCCGGCCAGGCTCCTTTTATTTTTATTAAGTGTTTTAGTTAAATGAGAAACCAGCTCATTTGAATGAAAACATTACTGGGACTTTAAAAATGGTAGTGAACCTTGAGGTAGCGCTGTGCTGGGTGAAACGAACCGAGCGCAGGAACTCATTTCCCGCTTCCACCGAGAGGAGAGCAGGCACCTCGTGGAGGCGGA